GGATGAAGACAACACTTTCATTGGCTCAGGCTAGATGCCTGATTATTTTGTTTTTGATTTTTTTAAGACAGAGTCTTGTTCTGTCACCCAGGATTGAGTGCAGTGGTGGATCTCTGCTCACTGCAGCCTCCTCTTCCTGGCCTGGGCAACATAGTGAGGCAATTCTCCTGCCTCAGCCCCCAGAGTAGCTGGGACTACAGGTGTACGCCACCACCCTAAGCTAAGCTTCTTGTATTTTTAGTAGAGACGGGTTTCACCATGTTGGCCAGGCTAGTCTCGAGCTACTGACCTCAAGTGATCCACCCGCCTCGGCCTCCCAAAGTGCTGGGATTACAGGCGTGAGCCACCATGCTCGGCCAGATGCCTGACAGTTGCAAGCATCAAGACAGACTACAGACCTTGCCACTAGAGAGGAAAGGCTGGGCTCCCTCACCCCTTTGCCTGGAAGACCACATACCACGGCTTTCCTGTTTCTGCCCACAAAGAGCTCCAGGTGGTCTAGGAAGATTTATATCCGTAGTTGCAGGTTTTGGTCCCAAGGTCTCCATGGTCACTTCTGTCCTTTTGGCATCACAGCTGGTTTGGATTTGAGGCTGGAGTCTTGGAGTCTGAGTTGGGGCTCCCCCACAGCTGATAAGGATGAATTTGTTGGGCCCACTACTGCCACTCTCTTTTCCCTTGGCAGTCAGTGCCGTGATGATGCTGTGGATATTGGCATTGTTGGGGATGGCCACTACTTGGGTGTTGGGCATGGTGGGGTGGTTGATAATCTTGATCCCAGCTGGAAACTTGCAAGAGCTGGACTCTGCCACTTCCTTGGAGGCCTGTGCTTGACTAGGCTCCTGTTGGGCAGGGGATCTCTTAGGTTCCTCCTCTGATGTTTCACTTGGGCCATTTTGAACAGGAAGGGGCAGCCGCCGTCTCTTGAGAATCAATGGCCGACGGGGGCTGGTTTTCATTATGAATCGGTGTTTTCACTCTCCATTGAGAATCACAAGTGTGGACCCTGGAAAATGCAAAGAGCAGCAAGATGTCAGAGATTTTTTTAGGCTGAGAAGAGGTTCTTTAAGAGAAAGGTGCTCCTCTTCCTATGACCAGGAACATGAGCTCAAAGGCAGAGGTGAATGCTCCATGGACTTTTGTAAAGACCTCAGATAAGAAGGAGATAATAATTGCTAAAATTACAGCAGACAGAAGCAATTCAAAGGGCAAAAATGGGACTGGGTTGGAGATAGCCAAAGATCTCCTTCTTGAAGCTTCAGAATATTTGGCTACAGAAATGGATGGGACAGCTACAAAAATGTGGAAATTGCCTACTATAATATAAATAGATAACTTGCTATGACTGTCCGGACAGCAATGGAAGATGCTAGAATAGAGAGCATATGGTAATTAGGAGTCCTGACAAAACTCTGATCCCATAATCCATTCTAAGATAAAGCCTTTTAATTTTTTTTTTTTGAGACAGAGTCTGTCTTTGTCACCCAGGCTGGAGTGCAATGGCACCATCTCAGCTCATTGCAACCTCCACCTCCTGGGTTCAAGCGATTCTCATGCCTCAGCCTCCCAAGTAGCTGGGATTACAGGCACCCACCACCATGCCTGGCTAATTTTTGTATTTTTAGTAGAGACAGGGTTTCACCACGTTGCTCAGGCTGGTCTGAAACTCCTGACCTCAGGTGACAGACTCAGCTCAGCCTCCCAAAGTGCTGGGATTACAGGCGTGAGCCAGGTGCCCAGCCAGGCCTTTTAATTTTTGTGTTACTTTGTAAATAGGACCAGTGCAACAGAATCAGGGAAGAAAGGCAGACTGTACTATTGCCACACCACTGGCAAAATCATCTCCTAGTTTACAAGACCTCACATAAAATGGAAACCTCTACTGAAGGCTCATGTAAAGTTGTGCAGCTTGTGCACTGAACAACTCTAGAGAGTGACATTTATTTCTCAGGCTATTATACTTGCTCGAATTTTAAAAGAATATGTTTTCTGGCCGGGTGCAGTGGCTCACGCCTGTAATCCCAGCACTTTGGGAGGCCGAGGCGGGTGGATCACGAGGTCAAGAGATCGAGACCATCCTGGTCAACATGGTGAAACCCCGTCTCTACTAAAAAAATACAAAAAAAAATTAGCTGGGCATGGTGGCGCGTGCCTGTAGTCCCGGCTACTCAGGAGGCTGAGGCAGGAGAATTGCCTGAACCCAGGAGGCGGAGGTTGCGGTGAGCCGATATCGCGCCATTGCACTCCAGCCTGGGCAACAAGAGCGAAACTCCGTCTCAAAAAAAAAAAAAAAAAAGGAATATGTTTTCTTTTACAATTTGTGCTATATTTATCCAGTGGCATTTTAGTACTTGCACGTGGCTACATATATCATACATATAACTTTCTAAGCCTGCCACTTCATTAATTTCTTTTCTAGAACTAAGACTATAATCCCTGCCTCCTCACTACCAGAATGTACTATCATCAATACACTAAGGTGGTTCTGAAATGCTAACAGTGTAGCCTTTTTGTTTTTAAGCCTTTCATTTTTTTTTTTTTTTTGAGACAGAGTTTTGCTCTTGTCACCCAGGCAGGAATTTAACGATGCGATCTCAGCTCAATGAAACCTCCGCCTGCCTCCCAGGTTCAAGTGATTCTCCTGCCTCAGCCTCCTAAGTAGCTGCGATTACAGGCGTACACCAACACACCGGCCAATTTTTTTTTTTTAAGTAGAGACGGGGTTTCACCACGTTGGCCAGGTTGGTCTTGAACTCCTCAGGCGATCCACCCACCTTAGCCTCCCAAAGTGCTGGGATTACAGGTGTGAGCCACTGTACCCAGCCTTTCTTTTTTATTTTATTTTTTTGAGATGGAGTCTCGCTCTGTTGCCAAGGCTGGAGTGCAGTGATGACATCTCGGCTCACTGCAACCTCTGCCTCCCGGGTTCAAACGATTCTCCTGCCTCAGCCTGAGCAGCTGGGATTACAGGCGCCCACCACCACGTCCAGCTAATTTTTGTATTTTTAGTAGAGACACTGTTTCGCCATGTTGGCCAGGCTGGTCTGGAACTCCTGACCTCAGGTGATCTACCCACCTCAGCCTCCCGAAGAGCTGAGACTACAGGTGTGAACCACCACACCCAGCCCGAATTTTAAAATTTTTTTGAGATGTTGTTTTGCTCTTGCTGCCCAGGCTGGAGTGCAATGGCGCGTCTTGGATCACTGCAACCTTCACCTTCCCAGATTCAAGTAATTCTCCTGCCTCAGCCTCCCAAGTAGCTGGGATTATAGGTGTGCACCAGCATGCCTGGCTAATTTTGTATTTTTAGTAGAGATGGGGTTTCACCATGTTGGTCAGGCTGGTCTCAAACTCCTGACCTCAAACTTCTGCCCACCTCAGCCTTCCAAAGTGCTTGCATTACAGGTGTGAGCCACCGTGCCCAGCCCTTTGCTGATTTTAATAGATACATGGAATATTCTACTATTAAGCAAACTTGTATAATTCTATTTCATGGAACTTTCGGAGACAGAGGAATGGCTGTTCTCTTTTTTTTTTTTTTTTTTTTTTGAGACAGAGTTTTGCTGTGTTGCCAGGCTCCAGGCTGGAGTGCAGTGGTGCGATCTTGGCTCACTGCAACCTCCACCTCCTGGGTTCAAGCAATTCTTCTGCCTCAGCCTCCTGAGCAGCTGGGACCACAGGCGTGCGCCACCATGCCCAGCTAATTTTTGTATTTTTTAGTAGAGATGAGGTTTCACCATGTTGGCCAGGATGGGCTCGATATCCTGCCCTTGTGATCTGCCTGCCTCAGCCTCCCAAAGTGCTGGGATTACAGGCCTGAACCACCGCACCCGGCCCTGGCTGTCTCTTTTTTAGGACACTTGTTGTCTCCCTGAAAAGCAACTGCACTTTTTTGACATTTGCCGTCTGCATAGAGTTCACAGGCCCTCCACACCTCTATCTTCAAATCTGTTTTACTTTCACCTCATATCTTTCCAGGCCTCCCTCTCCGCATCAATCAGTAGATACTGTCTTTTTCCACAGGATATCTAAGTCTTAAGTTTCTCTTCTACTTCCTAACCAATCTCTTACTATTATTGCCGAAATTTTCTTTCTTCTTCTTTTTTTTTTTTTTAAAAGAGGGGTTTCACCATGTTGGTCAGGCTGGTCTTGAACTCCCGACCTCAGGTGATCCACCTGCCTTGGCCTCCATATTGCCGACATTTTCTTGCCCGGGAAACCTCCAGAGTGGCTCCTCTGACCCATCCCGGACATCCCGAGCGGGAAAATCTTGCTACATTCTCAAGAACCAGGAGAAGGGTCCTAGCCAAAGGGTAAGATGGAGGCAGTGTTGCCTAGCGGTGAGAGAGCCTGGGGGCAGGGGATTGTGTACGCAGGTTGGTCTTTGACTCAATGTCGTACAAGCTCAGTCTTCATCTCAGCCACAGTCGGCCTAAGTAAGAAAGTAGGTCACCCCAGCCCTCCCGAGGCTGTGCGCAGGGTGCAGAGGTCAGACTTCAGGGAAGTCCAAGGGGCGCTTTAAGTAGTGAGAAGGCCAAGGCCAGGAGGGTGGATGCAGAAAAAAATTGCACCCGGGCTCAGACCTTCCCGTGTGGCCCAAACCTCCACTCGTGGCCCGTGCCCTGCTGCTAGACGCCCTGACCCCCGCACCCGGAGGCCTTGCTCCCCGCCTGTGCCCAGGCCAGGCCTGGGACTCCATTCCTGCCTCCCGCTCACCTCCAGACTGCAGTCGCCGCCGCCGTTGGGCCGTGGCTCCGAAGGCGGGCTCCGGGCTCCTCCAACCTGGGGGCCGAGCCCGGACCCCGGACGGGGACTCGCGCCGGACCGGCCGGGTCCCCGGCGGTGCGGGCGGGGTGGGAACCCCGGGGGATCCCGGGAAGGGAGGGGGTCCCGGGCCGGGGCCGGGGGTGGGGTCTGGCACCGGAGCTTTCAGTTTGTTCCGCTGTTTGAAACTGGCGCCGGCGGAGCGTTAAGGTCACGTGACGGAACGTCGCCAATCGGCGCCCGCTTGTCTCGGCATTCCGGGCTGGAACGCGGCGCGGTCTGACAGGAGTGGCGGCCCCGGCCGGCCCGGGCTGGTAAGGCGGCCTGCTGGCCTGTTCGTGGGAGAAGAGGTGGCCGTGAGGCCGGGGAGGGGCCGGAGGGGTCTCCGCGGCGTGGGTGGGCGAGCGGAGGGACAGTTTGGGGACGCGCGGAGCGGAGTGACCTAGTCACGTCAGGCGACACGCCCCCGTCTCCCCTCAGGCTGTCTGCTCCCCTTTTCAAAGGTCAGCTTTAGTTGATTTCCTTCCTAGGGGAAATCGTACCCCATTTTCCTACAGCGAACGATTGTTTGCTCCCCCCGATTAGCCTGAGGGTTCTTTGAGGGCTGCGTGTGATCTCACCTTTCTTCCATCTTGGAAAAAATGTCGGCACCTTGAGCCCCACGTGAGCGCGAAATCTTCCTGTCTTTTGCCCCTCCCAAAGCTAAGCCTTCGGGTATAATAGACTGTAATGCTTTATTTACTTAGTCAACCGGTCTAGTTGAACAACTGCTATGTGCCAGGCACCGCTAGGCCCTGAACGTACAATGGCAGACAAGGTTCTTAACTTCTCTTGGACTCACAGCCCAATCCTGGGAGAGAGGCTCAGACATTTTTAAGGAATCAAATAAACAAATGTGGGCTGGGTACGGTGGCTCACGCCTGTAATCCCAGCACTTTAGGAGGCCAAGGCGGGTGGATGGCTTGAGGTCACGAGTTCAAGACCAGCCTGACCAACATGGCGAAACCGCTTCTCTACTAAAAATTAGCCGGGTGTGGTGGTGCGTGCCTGTAGTCCCAGCTACTCTGGAGGCTGAGGTGGGAGGATCACCTGAGCCTGAGAGGTGGAGGTTATGGTAAAGTGTGTTCACATCATTACACTTCACCTGGACAGAGGAAGTGACAGAGGGAGACATCATCTTCAAAACAAACACACAAAAGTGGAATTACAGCTGTAAAGTGAAACAGTAGAGGTTGATGATACTTTGAGTATTTACAATAAGGAGATCTTGAGAGGTAGGACCGGAAAGGCTTTTCTCATGAGAGCTTGATGTGAGATCTGGTGCCTTTTACAAAGAAAGGAGGGAACCTCCATAAGCAGAGGGAATCAGGTGTGCAAAGGCTGCATAGCAGGAGTAAGCACGATAAGTATAGGCTAAGGAATATCTGAGGGGTTTGAGCTAATCAACCTGAGTGGAGTGTGGCGTGAGTTGAAGCTGGAGGCAGAGGAAGCAGGCCTTAGCCATACTGAGAAGTTTTGTGCTTATCCAAGAATTAAAGCAAACCAATCATAAGCTTTAAGCAGAAGTGAACTGAGGTCAGATTTGCATTTTAAAAGGTCCCTCTACAGCAGGGTTTGCTAGAGTGGTTGGATATTGCAATACTCCAGGCAAGAACTGCTTGAACTTGAAAAAGGTTGTCAGAGAGAGAGGAAGAAAGGAAGGAAACAGAGTGAAAAAGGGGCATTATGAAACGTGTTTAAGAGGTAAAGTTGACAGGGCTTGATGGTGGGTTGGATGGGAGGTGAGAGATAGAAGTGTCAAGATATTTGGCTGCATAACTGAAAGAATAATGACACCATTCCCTGACCAAGAGCCCTGGAAGATAATCACTTTGGCCAAGGGGTGGGGGTGGGGTTGCCGGGGAATGATTGTGAATTCAGTTTTTGTTTTTTACTACAAAGCAACGCTCAGAGTGAGTTCAGTTGTTTTTTTGTTTTTGTTTGAGACGGAGTCTCACTCTGTTGCCAGACTGGAGTGCAGTGGTGAGATATAGGCTCACAGCCACCTCCGCCTCCTGGGTTCAAGCGATTCTCTTGCCTCAGCCTCCCAAGTAGCTGGGATTACAGGCACGTGCCACCACACCTAGCTAATTTTTATATTTTTAGTAGAGATGGGTTTCACCATGTTGGCCAGGATAGTCTCGATCTCCTGACCTCGTGATCTGCCTGCCTCAGCCTCCCAAAGTGCTGGGATTACAGGCGTGAGCCACCTTGCCCGGCGGAGTTCAGTTTTGTAAAAAAATTTTATATATTTATTTTTATTTATCTTTTTATTTTTTAGAGACAGGGTCTTGCTCTGTCCCCCAGGCTGAAGTCCAGTGTCATGACCTTTGCTTACTATAGCTTCAGCCTCCTGGGCTTAGGTGATCCTCCCACCTCAGCCTCCTGAATGGCTGGGACTACAGGGACATGCCACTATGCCCAGCTAATTTTTGTATTTTTTTGTAGAGACAAGGTCTCACTCTTGCCCAGATTGATCTTGAACTCTTGGGCTCAAGTGATCCTCCCACCTTCACCTCCTAAAATGCTGGCGTTACAGGTGTGAACCAATGCATCTGGCCAAGTTCAATTTTAAACTTGTTGAATTTTTTTTTTCTTTTCTTTTTTTGAAACAAGGTTCTGGCTCTGTCGCCCAGGCTGGAGTGCAGTGGTGCGACCTTGGCTCACTGCAACCTTCGCCTCCCGGGCTCAAGTGATCTGTCAACCTCAGCTTCCTGAGTACCTAGGATTACAGATGCCCAACACCAAGCGCACCTGATTTATTATATTTTTTGTAGAGTTCTGGTTTCGCTATGTTGCCCAGGCCGTTCTTAAACTCATGAGCTTAAGCAATCCGCCTGCCCTGGCCTCTGAAAGTGCTGGGATTACAGGTGTGAGCCACTGCGCTCAGCCTTAAACATGTTGAATTTGAGGTGCATCTGAAATATCTAGTTGCCGTTCAGGTAGGTAATGGGATATTTGGGTCCTAAACTTAAGGAATTCTAAAATGAGTATATAAATATTGAAGTCATCTACTTAGAGGTGGTTACGGAAATACAGGTAGATGAGTTTGCCTAAGAAAAGTATATAGAGTGAGAACAGCTCCAAAGCACAACCAGAGGGGAAGGACTTAGATACCAGAATGAACTGACCACTAATTAGAGCAGAAAGAAGATAGATGCTGATATGCATAGGTTTATATGTTTGCTTTCTGGAAAATCAGAGTATTTCCTTTGATGTCTTCTATATTCGTTGTCAAGTAGGGAGTAAAATCATTTGTTAACACAAAAGGGGTGTTCTGACATTCTAAGAAAGTGGGCAGGGTGTGGTGATTCACACCTGTAATTCTAGCACTTTGGGAGGCTGAGGCAGGAGAATCACTTGAACTCAGGAGTTCAAGACCAGCCTGGACAACATAGCAAGACCCCATCTCTAAAAAAAATAAAATAAGAAACCAGCCAGGTGTGGTGGTGCTTGTCTATAGTCCCAGCTCTTCAGGAGCCTAAGGCAAGAGGATCTCTTGAGCCCAGGAGTTTGAGACTGCAGTGAGTTATGATCATGTTACTGTAGTCCAATCTGGACAACAGAGCAGGAACCCATCTCTAACAATAATTTTAAAAATTAAAATAAAAATTTTCAGCCTGGATGTGGTGGCTCAGGCCTGTAATCCCAGCATTTTCAGGGGCTAAGGTGGGCAGATCACCTGAGGTCAGGAGTTCAAGACCAGCCTGGCCAACATGGCGAAACCCCATCTCTACTAAAAAATATAACAATTAGCTGGGCATGGTGATGGATACCTGTAATCCCAGCTACTCAGGAGACTGAGGCAGGAGAATCACTTGAACCTGGGAAGCAGAGGTTACAGTGAGTCTAGATTGCACAACTGCACTCCAGCCTGGGCAACAGAGTGAGACTTCATTTCAAAACTAAAAAACAAAAATTTCCCCCTTTTTTTTTTTTTTTTTTTTTTTTTTTTTTTTTTTTTTGATATAGGGTCTGTCTGTCACCCAGGCTAGAGTGTAGTAGCATGATCATAGCTCACTGCATCTTCAGACTCCTGGGCTCAAGTGATCCTCCCACCTCAGCCTCCCAAATAGCTGGGACTACAGGTGTGTCCCACCATGTCCAACTAATTATTCTTTTAAATTTTTAGTCAAGACGTGGGCTCACTATGTTGCCCAGGGTGGTCTTGAACTCTTGGCCTCAAGCAGTCCTCCCACCTCAGCCTCCTAAAGTTCTGGGATTACAGGCATGAGCTACTGCACCTAGCTTGGAGAAGTTTTAAGATAATCTTTGTGGAGAATGAGTTGATCAAGGAAACAGGATTGCTAAGCAACGTACCCATTTGAAGCTGATGACTTTCAGCATGTCATGAATTTCAACACTATAGCCCTTGCTACCACTGTCATCTTTCTGCTGGATTTCTATGGTAGCTTTTTGTTTGTTTGTTTTCCAGACGAAATCTTGCTCTGTTGCCCAGGCTGGAGTGCAGTGGCACTTGGCTCTCTGCAACCTCCACCTCCCAGGTTCAAGCAATTCTCCTGTCTCAGCCTCCCAAGTAGCTGGGATTATAGGTGTATGCCACGATGCCTGGCTAATTTTTGTATTTTTAGTAGAGATGGGTTTCCCCATGTTGGCCAGGTAGTGTTGAACTCCTGACCTCAAGTGATCTGCCCGCCTCGACCCCACAAAGTGCTGGTACTACAGGCGTGAACCACCACACCCGGCCTCTCTATACTTTTTATCCCTTTCCAACTAGAATGTAAGCACCACAATGGTAGAGGCTTTATTTTATTCTCTGGTATATATTTTCAGCACCTGGAACAGTGCCTAGCACACAGTAAGCACTCAGTAAATATTTTCAAGTGAGTGAATGAACAAATAGATGTATTTGTATTTTGTGTTCTTCATAAGGTGTTAGTTGCTTCAGAATAGAGACTTTGTCCTTTTTTTCTTTACCTGTAACTCTACTGCCTAATTATGTAAGTCAAAGCATGGTTTTTGTTGTTGTTGATTGAATGGATTATGAACGTATAGAACCAACCTACTCCGTTGTGTGACTTTCCAGCATATTCAGCTGCACCTCTAATTTACTTCTCTACCTATTGCATTCAACCTTGTGCCCTACCATTCCACTGAAGCAGCTCTTATTAAAGTTGATCTGGGGCAGGCGTGGTGGCTCATGCCTATATTCCCAACACTTTGGGTGGCTGAAGCAGGATTACTCGAGCCCAGGAGTTCGAGACTAGTCTGGGCAACAAAGCAAGACTCTATCTCTAAAAAAAATAGTAAAACTTTTTAAAAAAGATGCTCAAGGCACCTTGTAAGAAAAGTCGGGTTGGAGAGGAGTGTGGAAAAAGGAAACAGGGAACTCAGAAGGCTACCAGAGGTGCCAGGCATGGTGACTCATACTTGTAATCCCAGCACTTTGGGAGGCCTAGGCAGGTAGATCAGTTGAGGTCAGGAGTTCAAGACCAGCTTGGCCAAAATGGTGAAACCCCATCTCTACTTAAAATATAAAAATTAGCCGGACCTGGTGGCAGGCAACTATAATCCCAGCTACTTGGGAGGCTGAGGCAGGAGAATCGCTTGAATCTGAGAGGCGGAGTTTGCAGTGAACCAAGATTGAGCTACTGCACTTCAGCCTGGGTGAAAGAGTGAGACTCTGTCTCAAAAGATAAAAGTACAGAGAGTCAAATAAGACAAGGGTTTGAGTTGACTGTTATTTTAGACATAGTTGTTAGGGAAGGCCTATCTGAAGAATTACTGGTAACCTCAGCAATTTGGAAGGTAGAGGAGGGAAGGATTGCTTGAGCCCAGGAGTTTGAGACCAGCCTAGGCAACACAAGGAGGCCTCATCTCTACAAAAAATTAAAAAAAAAAAAAAAAAAAGCCAGATGCAATGTGCTCACTTGTAGTTCCAGCTACTCAGGAAGCTGATGTGGAGGATTGCTTGGGCTGTAGAGGTTGAGGCTGCAATGATCCATGATCACACCACTGCATTCCAGCCTGGGTGACACAGCGAGACTCCATCTCAAAAAAAAAAGGACAAAGAAAACCTGGAGTGTGGTGGCTCGCATCTGTAATCCCAGCACTTTGGGAGGCTGAGGTGGGCAAATCACATGAGCTCAGGAATTCAAGACTAGCCTGGACAACACGACAAAACCCTATCTCTACAAAAAATACAAAAATTAGCCAGTGTTGTGGCATAGTCCCAGCTACTTGGGAGGCTGAGGTGGGATGATCACCTGAGTCTGGGAGCTCAAAGCTGTAGTGAGCTGTGATTGTGCCACCGTATTCTAGCCTATGTGACAGATGAGACCCAGTCTCAAAAAATAATAATAACAATAAAGAACACTGGCTGGCTGGATACTTGATAATGTTAAGGAGTTTATGTTTTTATTTAGTCATATTAATGGGAATGATAGAACATACTTTCTTTTTTTTTTTTTTTTTTTTTTCTTTTGAGATGGAGTTTCGCTCTTCTTGCCCATGCTGGAGTGCAATGGCGCAATCTTGGCTCACCACAACCTTTGCCTCCTGGGTTTGAGCGATTCTCCTGCCTCAGCCTCCTGAGTAGCTGGGATTATAGGCATGCTCCACCATGTCCGGCTAATTTTGTATTTTTAGTAGAGATGGGGTTTCTCCACGTTGGTCAGTCTGGTCTCGAACTCCCAACCTGTGGTGATCTACCTGTGGTGATCTGCCTTCCTCGGCCTTCCAAAGTGCTAGGATTACAGGCATGACCCACTGAGCCCGGCCAATAGAACATATTTTCTTCAAAATAATGCAGGGGTAGAAGAAGTGGCTAGGGGTATAGATGAGTCAAGATTAGCCTGGTTGATAGTTATTGGAGCTGGATGTTTGGTACACAGGGCACATTATTATATTATTCAGTCTACTTTAGTGTGTATTTGATGTTATCTAGAGTTAAAAATTTTTTAAAAAGCCAGCTGGGATCAAATTGTTCTGCTTGAAAATCTGCCATGACTACTCAGGATAAAGTCCAAACTCATATGGTGTCATCTGTTTTTGTTTGTTTGTTTGTTTTTGGAGATAGAGTCTTGCTTTGTTGCTCAGGCTAGAGTGCAGTGGGGCGATCTTGGCTCACTGCAACCTCCACCTCGCAGGTTCAAGCGATTCTCCTGCCTCAGCCTCCTGAGTAGCTGGGATTACAGGCGAGCACCACCACACTTGGCTAATCCTTTTTGTTTTGTTTTGTTTTTTTGAGACAGTCTCGCTCTGTTGCCCAGGCTGGAGTGCAGATGCGTGATCTCAGCTTATTGCAACCTCTGCCTCCTGGGTTCAGGTGATCCTCAGCTTCCTAAGTAGCTGGGACTACAGGCATGCACCACCACGGCCAGCTAATTTTCGTATTTTTAGTAGAGATGAGGTTTCACTGTGTTGGCCAGGCTGGTCTCAAACTCCTGACCTCAGGTAATCCTCCTGCCTCTGCCTCCCATAGTGCTGGGATTACAGCCGTGAGCCACCACACTTGGCCATGTCATCGTTTTTTTCACCTCACCCTGACACCATGTTTATCCTCAGTTCTTGCCATTTATCTTTTCATACTCTATCCAGATACATTGAGTTTGTAATTCCCAGAATTCACAATACTCCTTCTTGTCTCTGTGCCTTTGTGTACGCTCTTCCTCAGGTTGGAGTGTCCTTGCTTTTTTGTTTCTTCTAGGCCTTCCATACCTAGGTCAGGTATCTCCCTTTCCAGAAAGCTTCCTTTGGAATGAATGGAACCATATTGTATTCTCCTATTGTGTTGTAAATGCCTGTTTCCCTTTGTTAGACTTTCAGCTCCTTGAAACAGGGATGAGCTCTGTATCACTACAAGTGTTTGGCACTCAGTAAATGATTGTTTAATAAATGGTTATTCTTTTTTTTTTTTTTTTGAGACGGAGTTTCGCTCTTGTTACCCAGGCTGCAGTGCAATGGCGCGATCTCGGCTCACCACAACCTCTGCCTCCTGGGTTCAAGCAATTCTCCTGCCTCAGCCTCCCAAGTAGCTGGGACTACAGGCACGCGCCACCATGCCCAGCTAATTTTTGTATTTTTAGTAGAGATGGGGTTTCACCTTGTTGACCAGCATGGTCTCGATCTCTTGACCTCGTGATCCACCCGCCTCGGCCTCCCAAAGTGCTGGGATTGTAGGCGGGAGCCACAGCGCCCGGCCAGTTATTCATCTTTAAATTCCCAGCACCTAGCATGACATTTAGTGCATACTCAATAAATGTTTGTTAGATGAATATTGAATATGAATACTATGTTTTGATTGGTGGTGTAGACTTTAGGAGGCTATGTTCCCCACAGCCTTGAGATTTACAGTAGAATTGGCTGGCAGAGGATCAGGAAAATCTAGGGAATCATCTGAATTATTTGTTCCCAGCTTTTGTTTCTTCTCTACAGGCATGGGTTGGAATTGGAGCCTATCTCCCATCCCGAAGGCTATCAGCATCATGTGGTTACTAACTGTTCCTCATTCACCGGTTGATGCCTCCCAGAAAAAAACGCCGCCAGCCTTCCCAGAAAGCCCAGCTGCTGTTCCACCATCAACCACTGGAGGGCCCCAAACACTGCTATGCATCTCCACAGCTCCCCATGACTCACACTCGACAGGTGCCCAGCAAGCCCATTGACCACAGCACCATCACTTCCTGGGTAGGGCCATGGGATTATTACTTCGACTTTTACTGTTAGGTTTTCCAGAATGCTGACTCTTCTGCCCCTTGAACCAGGGCCTCCAAAGAATAAGACTCATGGGGGCAGGGGCAGGGAGTTAATGTATTCTTTCTGTCTGTGGCCAGCCATGTTCTCTGGTACCTCGTCTTTTCTCCGTTCAAACTGAGGAATGGGTTAGTTGGAACTGGAGTCTTTCTCTTTCCCTATTTTCATCTGAAAGAGTTCAGTGTAAAAGTTTTTTTACCCATTAGCTGGATGAGACAGCCAGATATATGGCAGAACAAGTAAGAAATGAGATTGTTTCCTAAACTTCATGTGAAAGGTGGAGTATTTAGCTAGATACTCTGTTTATCATTTAATGGACTGAACCTTGAACAATAAAAACCCCATAAGAATAGCATATGTCATATTTTGGGCCAGGTGCGGTGGCTCAAGCCTGTAATCCCAGCACTTTGGGAGGCCGAGGCGGGTGGATCACGAGGGCAAGAGATCGAGACCATCCTGGTCAACATGGTGAAACCCCGTCTCTACTAAAAAAATACAAAAAAAAATTAGCTGGGCATGGTGGCGCGTGCCTGTAATCCCAGCTACTCAGGAGGCTGAGGCAGGAGAATTGCCTGAACCCAGGAGGCGGAGGTTGCGGTGAGCCGAGATCGCGCCATTGCACTCCAGCCTGGGTAACAAGAGTGAAACTCCGTCTCAAAAAAAAAACAAAAAAAAAAGAATAACATATGTCATATTTTGACCACTTAAAAGCCCTTGGAAGAGAGGCCGGTTGTGGTGGCTCATGCCTGTAATCCCAGCACTTTAGGAGGCCAAGGCAGGAGGATTGCTTGAGCCCAGGAGTTTGAGACTAGCTTGGGCAACATGGTGAAACCCCATCTCTACTAAAAATAATATAAAAATTAGCTGGGCGTGGTGGTGCGCACCTGTAGTCCCAGCTACTTGAGGACAGATCACTTGAGCCCAGGAGGCCAAGGCTGTAGTGAGTTCAGATTGCGCCACTGCAGTCCAGCCTGGGCGACAGAGTGAGACCCTGTCTAAAAAAAAAAAAAAAAAAAGCAGCAGCAACAGCCCTGGGAAGAGAATATAACCACTATACAACAAGGAAGTAGTATAGCAAAAGGGCCAGACAAAAGCATAAGCTTGGCTTAGGAGTATTTAATAAATATAACTTATTCAGGACTGCTTGGAAGAACCATAATACCTGCTACAGGATTGTGGAATAAACCTAAACATCAGAATTTTGTGGATGAGAATAGGAATGAACATTTATTGAACATTCATTATATGCCAGGTCCTCTGCTAGTTCTCACTCACTATGCTTGGAGTTAGCTATTCATTATTTACTGAGGGCCTTCTTTGTTCCAGGCATTCTGCTAGGTGCTGGGAATCAAGAACAAGACTGCTGGTCTCTACTTTCATGAAGTTTAAAGATAAATAAAGCCAGGCGTGGTGGCTGAGGCCTGTAATCCTAACACTTTGGGAGGCTGAGGTGGGTGGATCACCTGAGGTCAGGAGTTCAAGACCAGCCTGGCCATCATGGTGAAACCCCATCTTAAAAAAAAAAAAAGATAAATAAGTTATATCCAGGGCAGGTGTTGTGGCTCACACCTTTAATTCCAGCACTTTGGGAGGGTAAGCTGGGTGGATCACTTGAGGTCAGGAGTTTGAGACCAGTCTGGCTAACACGGTGAAACCCCAACTCTACTAAAGATACAAAAATTGCCTGTGTGCCATGGCTCACCTCTAATCCCAGCACTATGGGAGGCCGAGGCGGGTGGATCACCTGAGGTTAGGAGTGCAAGGCCAGCCTGGTCAACATGGTAAAACCCTGTCTCTACTACAAATACAAAAATTAGCTGGGCGTGGTGGTATATGCCTGTAATCTCAGCTACACGGGAAGCTGAGGCAGGAGGCTCACTTGTATCAGGGAGGCAGAGGTTGCAGTGAACAGAAATCTCACCATTGCACTCCAGCCTGGGTGACAAGAAGGAAACTCTGTCTCAAAAAAAAAAAAAAATTATCTGGGCGTGGTGGGGGACACCTGTAGTCCCAGCTACTCGAGATGCTGAGGCAGGAGAATCGGTTGAACCTGGGAGGCAGAGGTTGCAGTGAGCTGAGATAGTGCCACTGTGCTCCAGCCTAGACATCAGAGTGAGACTCCATCCCAGGGGGAAAAAAAAAAAGTTATATATATATGATGTGATGAAGTGAAAGAGACATCATCCCCTTTCCTACACATGATGAAACTGAAAGCCAGAGAGACAGAATAACTTGCCCAAAGCTTCCTGTTATTATACCATTAGACAGCTATTTTAGTTTTGTGTTCATTACTATAGTGGACTCCGATTTAAGAGTCCGCTCATCGGATATAGTTTCCTCTCTTAGGTTAGTACTTGGTAGTTGGTTCACCTCACTTTTTTTTTTTTTTTAAAGGTATCACCTGATTTTGATACAACAGCAGGAAGTTTGTTCCCAGCCTACCAGAAACACCACCACCAAGACCGGGCGAGACATTTAAGTCGAAAATCTACCACTTCCAAGTTTCCACGTCTAACTTTTGAGAGTCCACAATCTTCCCGTTCAGAGACACTGGGGATCCCCTTAATCAGGGAGTGCCCCAATCAATCAGAAAAGGATGTTTCCAGAAGACCCTTAGTTCCAGTGCTCAGTCCCCAAAGCTGTGGGGACATGTCAGCTCAGGCACTTCAGAGCTTACCTTATGTGTTCATTCCACCTGATATCCAGACCCCAGAGTTATCGTCTATGAAGGAAGAACTCATTCCCCCAGATCAGAAGGAAAACCTTTCAAGCTGTTCTCTTCACACTGGCACTCCCAGTAGCCCAGAGCCTGGACCTGTTCTGGTTAAAGACACCCCTGAGAACAAGTATGGAATAAAGGTCACATGGAGGAGACGACAGCACCTGCTTGCTTACCTCAGAGAGAGAGGGAAACTGAGCAGAAGCCAATTCCTTGTGAAAAGCTGACTGCCATCAGCAATCTCAATGGAAAGGAGATATGTTTTCTGGAGTCATAAGGGAATTCAATTCCAGATTTTTTTTTTTTTGAGATACTGTATTGCTCTGTCACCCATGCTGGAGTGCAGTGGTACAATCTCACTACAACCTCCACTTCCCAGGTTCAAGAATTTTCCTGTTTTACCCTCCCCAGTAGCTGGGATTATAAGCGCCTACCACCATGCCTGGCTAATTTTTTTTGTATTTTTAATAGAGACAGGGTTTCACCATGTTGGCCAGGCTGGTCTCAAACTCCTGACCTCAAGTGATCTGCCTGCCTCAACCACACCCAGCCAAGATTTGTTTTCTAAAATACTTTGTGTCCTAAACAGTTTAGTGTCATGAACTGTTTACTTCGTATTTTTGTTTAAATTTTTAAAGTATCTTGTAATAACTGTTTAAAATGTATGTAAATAAATGGCTACAGAAAGTTTTTTTTTAAGAGAATCTTGCTTCTGGCTGGGCGTGGTGGCTCATGCCTATAATCTCAGCACTTTGGGAGGCCAAGGCAGGCAGATCACCTGAGGTCAGGAGTTCGAGACCAGCCTGGCCAACATGGTGAAATGCTGTCTTTAAAAAAAAAAAAAAAAAAAGAAAAGAAAAAGAGAATCTTGCTTCTGTCAGTAGTAATACAGCAATCTTACCCCATCCACTAAAGGTTTTTCTTTCCTTAACCACTACTCATTAATCCTTTAATCATCTCTGCATTTTTTTTTTTTTTTTTTTAAGAGACGGGGTTTTACCATGTTGGCCAGGCTGGTTTTGAACTCCTGACTGTGTGATCCACCTGCCTTGGCCTCCCGAAGGGCTGGGATTACAGGCATGAGCCACCGTGCTTGGCCCATTCTGCAATTTTTTTTTTTTTTTCCAGGACAAGGAGCAATTTATTTCACAGCTGAGCGAAGGATGAGGCCCACAGCCTCGGTAGCAGCAGAGGCAGCTTCTGCCCGCCTAGCCCTCTTTTCCTGGTATGGCAGCCAAAGGCCAGGTCAGAAGCAAGGGAGACAGCCAGGGCACAGCCCTCCCGCCACAGAGCAGCAGCGGGCAGCAGTAGCAGCAGCAGTTTAAGGGGTGGAGGAGGGGGAGTGTTAGTCTGGCTGGCTGACTCCCATCCCCCTGTGGATAGTGTTTGCTGAGGGTTGGGGGACCTAGACTGCTAGGTGGGGGGCATCTGGAGTGGCTCACTGAGCTGTGAAGATGCGGCTGGAAATGTCATCCAGGAGCCAGTCAATGCCCTGCAACAGGTTCTCCCTGGTGATGGCACTGCAGCCCTGGATGCACCAGTGGTGGCTGCGGATGGAGTCCAGCTCCAGGGCCTCACGGATGGCGTTAGAGGACAGTGCTCCAGGCAGGTCCTGCTTGTTGGCAAAGATGAGGAGGGTTGCTCCGGCCAGGCGCTCCTCCAGCAGCAGGCTCTGGAGCTCCCGCTGCCAGTCCTGCATGCACTGGCAGTCCGTGCTGTCCACCACCCAGATGAGGCCGTCAGTGCTCTCAAAGTAGTTCCGCCAGTAGGACGGCAGGGACTTCTGGCCGCCCACATCCCAGATGTTCAGCTTGAATCCTCAGTGCTCCAGGGTCTTGATGTTGAAGCCCAGTGTTGGGGAGATGGTGTCGATGTCCTCCCCATTGAACTTCTTCAGGATGGTTGTCTTCCCAGCATTGTGCAGGCCAAGCATGAGCAGTCGCACCTCCCGCTTTTTCTGCTTCATCTTCAGAATGGTCAGGATCCCCATGGTCCTTGGAACCACCTCCTGGCCACCGTTTCTTCCCATTCTGCATTTTTGAGTACCAACTCTGTCAGGCTCAGTGGCAGTTTGTGACCTGATGAAGAAAAAAAAAACTTTGTGACTCTATGGTTGACTGCCACCTCTGCAATCTTGACTCATCTGCTCAAAGGCAAGAAGGGCAGCAAGCCCTGTTTTAGGGACTACATGAGATCAGGGTAGATAAAGGGGACATAGATGAGTCCTTTAGGATTGCTGGTGTTTTGAGTATTTTTTCCTAACTGAAGCAATCTGTAAATATTAAATAGAATGGTTTCTTAGAGTAACTGTAAAACTGTGTAAATAAATATGGAAAGTTTTCAGACTATTATTTATTGTAATTAATGCAGAAGGACTTCCTAAGTCAACAGAATGTCTTAGATGGCCTTTTACTCAGACAAGTAGAATCTCATTAAACCACATTCATTCAGCATTTAAGAACCTACTGTGTCAGGTGCAGCCCCAACTAGGTCAAGCAGGGATTACTCTGCATGTTTTACAGATAGGAATTTGAGGCAGAGAATGAACCATGCACACGGTCATGATGGATGGAAAAAATCAAACTCTGTGACACTATGGTTGACTGCAGTGAGTGCAGGCTGAGCCAGGCAGTGTAACGCTCCACTCTCAGCGTGTGCCTCCTGAAGTACTAACTTGTAGGTTCAAAACCAATGTGGAAACAACTTTGACCTTGGAATGCCCTAAAACCATTTATGCAGTGACTTGTCAGGACTCAGGATGTTTTGTAGGGACGATAATGTGCATGTCGGCAGGGAGAAAGGGACTGACACTTGGGAATGCGATTTATTGGAGACAAGTACACATTTAGATGGGGTCTCACTGTGGGCTATGGATGTTTGAGGAAGGCCCACAGGCAATGGAGAGGTAGATGGAAAGAGTCTCCAGGCCGGAAGCATGGCTGTAATCCCAGCACTTTGGGAAGCCGAAGCAGGTGGATCATTTGAGGTCAGGAGTTCAAGACCAGTCTGGCCAACATGGTGAAACCCTGTCTCTACTAAAAATACGAAAAATAGCCTCGTGGTAGTGGCCCGTGCCTGTAATCCCAGCTACTCGGGAGGATGAGGCAGGAGAGTCGCTTGAGCCTGGGAGGCGGAGGTTGCAGTGAGCCAAGACTGGGCCACCACACTGCAGTCTGAGCGAGAGTGAGACCCTGTCTCAAAAGAAGAAAAGAAAAAAAAAGTCTGGATACCTTGGTGTGTTTTAGGGGAGTCTGTAAAGCAGGTATAGGAATGATCTAAAAGTTTGGGCTGGATTAGGGGAGACTGAAAGAGTTCTGTGGAGTTGAAAGTCAAGGCCAGCCTATGGAAGATGCGTTTCACTGGTAGTGACTGCTGGAGAGGGTACCAGAGTGGGTCCACGAAGGCCGCTGGTATCAGGGCAGGGGCTGGAATGGGAGGCAGCAGAGGTCTGGACATCCTCACAGAGCAGACGTCGGGAAGAGCTCTGGGTGGGCTCGATAAAAATGGCGGGGTTGGGGGGAGCCGTTGCGTGCGTGGCGGTTGGTGGGGGGTATGGGCGACTCCTCTGACGCGACTTACCCGTTGACCGCTCGGCGGGCGCAGCCAAGGCAAACACATCCTTCCGCCTTCAGTACTGGCCCCGCGAAGCGCTCCAGCGGATCAAGCCCCGATGCGCGTCACCTCGCCCCTGCGCAGGCGCGTTTAACTCCCGCGCGCCTCCCGCCCCTTAGCAACCCTCCGGCATCTTTGGGCCCGGCAGTAGCCAATGAGACAGGAGCCGCGAGCACACGGACCAATCGGCAGCGGCGACAGTGCTGAATGAGGTTGCCAGGAGGCGGGACGCGGCGGCGTGCCAGCCTCGCCACTCTAGCGACGGCGGCGAAGAGTGTGTACGTGGTGGTGGGCGCTTCCTCGAGGCAGGCATGGAGGCTTCGCGCTGCCTGCTTGGTCCCAGCGGCGACAGGTCAGATAGGGCCCTGGCAGGTCTCCTCCTGAGTGAGGCGGAGGGGCGAAGCCAGAAGGCTGAGGTCCTCTCCGGGAGTCCTGCGGGGAGAGGGCGGGACTCGGGACTTGGCGACCCAGGGAGGGACTGATTTCAACTGACCCCTCGCCCCACTCGCGTGTGAGGACCCCTTTCTCAAGTGCAGCGGCGTCTCTACAGCCCGCGCCATGGGCAGAGACCTTGGTTCAGGTCCCTGCTCAGGAACTTCTGTAGTTTTCGTGTCGGGCTCCCCCGGCCCCTCTGGGCCTCGGGTTTCTCTCGGGGGAGACGCGCTGGCCCCACTCCGCTTATACGCCCGATGGTGTAACAGCCGAGAGGGGGACCCAGCCCTTCCCGGGAGGCGGAGAGGGAGATTGCGGGTGACGTTTAGTAACTTGTTCTGACGCCGCTGCTTTGGACGGGTAACGCTGAATTCTGGAGCAGAGTCCGAGGAGTGGAAACGCGAAACCCTTTCCTCTCTGCTTTCCAGTAGTTGTTCCTGATTCGGGACAGTCTGTCTGATTTGCGAGTGGGCCACACCCCTTGTTTGTGCGCCTCTTTCTTTACCAGAGGGAGAGCCTGGGAAAGAAAAGGGATCCAAAATCTCAGCATGTCACTTTCTTGTTCGTTGGGTTAATGAGAAGTTAATGGGGAGCCGTTTGAAATCATGGTTAGAAACGTTGGCGTCATCTGAGGATTTAAGTCCTACGCCAACTGTATACCCTGCTTTTTGTTCCATGACCAAAACAAAGATTTGGGGCCGGGCGCAGTGGAACACGCCTATCATCCCCAGCACTTTGGGAGGCCGAAGCGGGAGGATCGCTTGGGCTCAGGAGTTCGAGACCAGCCTGGAAAACATGGCAAGACCCCCCCCCCGCCCCCCCTCCAATCCGCATTTCTTAAAAAAAAAATTGGCCGGTCGCGGTGCTGTAATCCCAGCACTTTGGGAGGCCGAGACGGGCTGATTGCCTGAGCTCAAGAGTTCGAGACCAGCCTGGGCAACACAGTGAAACCCCGTCTCTACTAAAGTAGAAAAGAATTTAGCCAGGCGTGGTGGCAGGTGCCTGTCGTCCTAGCAACTCGGGAGACTGAGGCAGGAGAATTGCTTGAACCTGGGAGGTGGAGATTGCAGTGAGCCGAGATTCCGCCACTGAACTCCAGCCTGGGAGTGAGAGTCCATCTCAAAAAAATAAAATAAAAATAAAATTTAGCTGACAGTTGTGCGCACCGGTAGTTTCAGCTACTCGAGAGGCTGAGGTGGGAGAATTCGTTGAACCCGGAGTTCCAAACTCCTGTGATCGGCCACTGAGCTTGGGCAACACAGTGAAGTCCTGTCTCCTTAAAAAAAAAAATGATTTGATGTGTAAGGATTTAGTCTGATATTTAGTAGATATTTAAACAATTTTAAGCCTTTTTTTTTTTTTTTTTTGAACGGGGGTTTACCTCTTGTTACCCAGGCTGGAGTGCAATATCTTGGCTCACCACAACCTCCGCCTCCTGGGTTCAGGCAATTCTCCTGCTTCAACCTCCTGAGTAGCTGGGATTACAGGCACACGCCACCTTGCCCAGCTAATGTTTTGTGTTTTAGTAGAGACGGGATTTCACCATCTTGACCAGGATGGTCTTGATCTCTTGACCTCGTGATCCACCCGCCTCGGCCTCCCAAAGTGCTGGGATTACAGGCTTCAGCCACCGCGCCCAGCAATTTTAAACCTTTTTTAAAAATTGTCCCAAAGTTGTTGGGGGTAAAGAACAACTATTTTCCATTTTCGTCAAGTTCTATTGAGGTGGATAGCTATACCCTGAAATTTGTTCACTGTACTTCCCCTGCTGTCCCCAAAGTCGAGGAAGAAAACTACACTTTGCAGGTGTAAGTGCTAGGGGAGATAAGGTTAGTATTCAGCATCTCTGGTTGAATTCGGAAAATATTTCTTCAGTTGTGGGCGCTCAGTTTTAAGTCAATGAATTTAAATCAGTAAGTTTCATGGGTACCAGATGTTTGATGACTCATGATTTTTGATTTAAAAAAAAAGGGATGGGGGATTGACTTTGAAATTGGAACCAGGAGGCAAAATGGTTTTGATTTATTGGTCCTGAAGCTTAAAGGTATAATTTGTAAGTTTTCCCTCCTTTTTCTTCCAAAAGAAACTAGCTCTTTAAATTTTATTTTATTTTCATTTAATTTTAATTTTTTTTTTTGAGGCAGGATCTCACTCTGCCACCCAGGCTGGGATGTGGTGGGCAATCTCAGCTCACTACAACCTCTTCTTCTCTGTGGTTAAGCGATCCTCCCACCTTAGCATCCCTGGTAGTTCGGACCACAGGTGTGTGACACCACCCAGCTGATTTCTTGTATTTTTTGTAGAGATGGGATTTCTCCATGTTGCCCAGGCTGGTGTCGAACTGAGCTTAAGCAATCTGTCTGTCTCAGCCTCCAAAACTGCTGGAATTACCGGTCTAAGCCACTGCACTTGGCCCTAAATTGTAAAATTGACATCAAAGGGGAATGTGTGAGTCACTAAATGTTTCTCCTGCCCTCTAATGTTAGTGTAACTTCTATCACTGCTTAACTCATTTGTTACTAAGGAGGAGTCTCGCTTTTTTCTCTTTTTTGGCTTCAGATTATGTGTTTAATGTTTTTTTTTTTTTTTAAAGATGGAATCTGTCTCTGTTGCCCAGGCTGGAGTGCAGTGGCGCGATCTTGGCTCACTACAACCTCCGCCTCCTGGGTTCTTGCAATTCTCCTGCCTCAGCCTCCAGAGTAGCTAGGACTACAGACATCTGCCACCATGCCTGGCTAATTTTTTTTTTGTACTTTAGTAGAGATGGGGTTTCACCGTGTTGCCCAGGCTAGTTTTGAACTCCTGAGCTCAGGCAATGCGCTGGTCTCGGCCTCCCAAAGTGCTGGGATTACAGGCATGAGCCACTGCTCCCGGCTGTTTAATGTTTTTGACGAAATACAATGATAGAATTTTCTGTATTACTTCCTTTCGGTGTAAGGATAACAACCAACTTTTAAGTTTTCTGTAATTTCTTTTTTCTTGGAATTATGTAATTTTTACCATAAGGCAGATTTATTTTAAACAAAATAGAAAAATTATTAACAACTACAAGTATTTTTTTTTTTTGAAAATTTTTTTTTTGTGGAGACAAGGTCTCATTTTTTTTTTTTTTTTTTTTTTTTTTTGGGACGGAGTTTCGCTCTTGTTACCCAGGCTAGAGTGCAATGGCGCGATCTTGGCTCACTGCAACCTCCGCCTCCTGGGTTCAGGCAATTCTCCTGCCTCAGCCTCCTGAGTAGCTGGGATTACAGGCACGCACTACCACGCCCAGCTAATTTTTTGTATTTTTAGTAGAGACGGGGTTTCACCGTGTTGACCAGGATGGTCTCGATCTCTTG